GGTTTTCACCTCTGAGGAGCGCACCTATGTCAGGGTGATATCCTGCCGGTCAGCAGGGGACAGGAGGTATATAAACGTTAAATATTTCGAGCTCCACATCGCCTGACCGGATAGCAATGCCCTGACATTCTAGGGTGGTATCCCTGCGGTCGATGTCTGCCTCGATAACACGATACTGCACGGTGCGGTGCGTAATGAACGCTAAGCCACCACCATTATCCCGCTCGCGATCTCGACGGTGCACGTTGTACCCGGCACAATCCAACAGTGTTGAATTGCTGTGCAACTTCGTCTCTTGGACCGCAGCTATCAATATGCCATGCCTTCCCATGAAGACGGTTATCTCCTCGATCTTGCCCTGAAGCCCGTTACAGTTAAATTGAAGGAGCTTCATGTGGTTCGGAAGACGTGTGGTGATGCGGGGTGTGAGGGATGTGTGTGGTCGTGCCGTAGTTGGCTTTGTGCGCTGCTGAGGTGGTTGCCGCCCTGTGGTGGTGGCGGGAGGCGTCGCAGTTGAGGTCTGCGACTGAGCAGCGCAACACGGGCCCTCGAAGTTCCTCGTCCAATCTCGCGTGGTGCGCAGTCCTGAGCATGCCCTAAAGTGGCACCAGCAAAAGCAGGTGTTGCACTTGACTGATGTCACATTACGGAATATCCTGGTCTGACATACCGTGCAGATTGTTGGAGGAACCAGGAGTAGTTGGCGGCGGCGTGTGAGTGGTGGTGCGGTTGTGTGTGTTTTGTGGTCTGTAGCCGTTGTGGTGTGGTCTATTGTGTTATGTTGTTGTGCTGTGGTGTTTGTGTGGGACTGCTCAGCTGGACTGGGGTTAGCCGTGGAGGCTGCTCTGACTCCACCCCTCGCAAGCATTGTATTTGACAGAGGTGGAGTTGTGGTCTAGTCGTCTCTGGCATACACAGCAGGTGTAGGTTTCTGGCCCTGAGTAGGAGAAAACGTAGCGAATGCAGCCCTATGGACGAACAACTTCTGAGATACTTCGCCGACCTAAACGGGGTTAGATCGCCGAAACAACAGCCCTTGGTTGGGTAAAACCCGAGTCATTCCGGTACGTAGAACCGGCTGTCGTGGGAATGGAAAATAAACACTCATTTTACTCGCTATTTAATTTAGTTTTACAATCAATTTAGTACTAATATAAAATAGTGCATAAAAAACTCCCCAAAGTTGCAAAAATTAAAAAAAGTGTTTGCTGGGTAAATACACACAGATCTCTGAAGGTTTCTGTATTCACATACATATCGTTCGAAAGGCCCAAGTTTCTTTTTAAACCCGGCAATAAACCGAAACTCGGTTTATAATGAACTAAGTTACAGGCTTATAAGTGGGCAAAAGTACGAAAACCCGGTTTCTTAACGTTAAATCAAGATTTTGGGGGTGTCTGGCAAATTTCATATTTCGATTCTTGTTTTACTCGAAAAGACCTACCAGAAAATGTACATAACTTCCCAGGTATTTCTACTTTGTGCACTGGGTAATTTATTTTGTATTTGCTATCATATTTCTGTACTAATATTTTTTCTACTTTAGTATAGCTTGTGGAACGCAAATTTAAGCCAAATTATAATTGTTTTTAAATACAATTTTTCACAACTGGAACTTAAGTTAAGTAGGTAAAATTAGTCCTTAAACTTTTTTACTACTAATATCTTTTCCTTTTCCTTTCAGATTTGGGAAAACGACTTCGATGTGTTACAAAACGGAAAATGTACCATAAATATAAATTTAAAAACATCTGATGGACGCCAACTTGCTCGTAAAATCATTCAAACGCAGGATGTTTTGATTGATCCGTTTCGACCTGGAGTTATGGAGAAAAATGGTATTGGGCCAGATGTCCTGTGTAAAGAAAACCCAAGGCTAATTTACGCGCGCTTAACAGGATTTGGCCAATATGGGTCCTTAGCAAAGAGAGCTGGCCATGACATCAACTATCTTGCAATTTCCGGTGTGCTCTCTATGCTGCGCTCACAAAACAGCAAGCCAATACCTCCTGTTAATATTTTAGCGGACTTTGCTGGCGGAGGTCTTATATGCGCTTTGGGAATTTGTTTGGCACTTTTAGAACGTCATCGTTCCGGTTGTGGACAAATAATTGATGCGTCAATGTGTGAAGGCGTTGCATATATTTCTTCATGGCTGTTTTTGTCACGCTCACTCCCCATCTGGGGCAACCAAACGGGCCAAAACATACTCGATGGAGGATCCTTCTTTTATGATACATATGAAACAAAAGACGGGAGATTCATCTCAGTGGGTGCACTGGAACCGCATTTTTTCGATATTTTCAAACAAAATTTGGGATTGCCGGAACTTATTCAGTTTCCTGCAAGTGAATATCAGAAAAACAGTGCCAGAGAGGCAGTAAAAAACGCATTTAAAAAAAAAACACGAAATGAATGGTCAAAAGTATTTGAAAACACTGATGCTTGCGTATTTCCAGTTGTTGAATGGGAAGAAGTAGCGCAATATGGTCACAATAAACAGCGTTCAAGCTTTCAGAAATTTGATAATGAACTGGTACCTGTGCCTTCCCCTCTACTTAGCAGAACTCCTGGCACTCTTAAAAGTAAACGCGGTAATTTAACTGCAGTATCAGTAAAAGGGCAGGTAGATAATCGCGAAATTTCATTGTCAAGATTTAAGGCAAAGATATAAGGGCATATATTTTTTTTTATTTTTACAATTTGTTAGTCAATTTCAACTAATGTTTCTTGATTATTTCTTTATTATTAAAGTCCTTAGTTGTAAGAAGATTTTAATACATACATGTATATTCCAGCATACGTTTGGTTTGGAGAAAAGTTCTTGAGTGAGCAAAAATATGATAATTAAGGAGTTCACAAGGTGTAGTATCCCTTAATATTTCACAATTACAAATACAGATTGTTTGATCTCATCACCCCTTCTCAAACTCTCAACCCTAATTTATTATTAAGTATCTTAAACCGAGTTACTCTAAACCCTTTGTAAATACATATACAAATTGCAAATTGAACTTGGTGCTGTTTGGTGTCAATTTGATTATACCCTTTGCAACATTGTGGTTCTCACTTGCCAGGTTATCAGGTTAAAAATGTTTATTCTGTAGTGTATTTTAGGCTGCAATTTAGTTTGACATCCCCGGAGTTCCGCATTAAGGTAGCTATGGAACGGTAGAGCGAGTTCTCCTGATTGCAAATATATATACTTTTAGCCGCAGCAGGCTTATAGTTTTTAAGTTATTTGTTGTTAATGTTTGTAAATTGAACTACCCTCTCGGCGCTATTTCACACAATAAACACTATATTTATGTACACACTTCGGCAAAATAATTGCATTAAAACCCCGGCCTGAGATTTCCACTTTAATATACAATTCTTAATTAATTAATTAAGTAAAACGCGTTTATAAATGTCTTCACAAACGTTTGCACATTTCACAAACAAGAAGAAATAACAATGGTTGACAGTAACACAAAATCTATGCTACCATACGTAAAAAAAAAAATACACCACAAATAAGTGCGTACAATTAGGGAGTATAAGTGTACAATACGTACTCAGGGAACTGCCCTGATCTTACTCCTGATCATAACGGTATAATTTTTTCCGGGGTGAAATAATATTTACTGGTGTTATTGTAGTTCAAAGTACACAAATGTAGAAAACGTACATCGATAATTTGATAAATAATGAAAATTTTTAATAAAAAATCGCGCGCTTTTTTATTAAAAATTTTCGCCTGCGCCGCTTTTTCCATAAAAATCCATACTCCGATAAATAATGAAAATTTTTAATAAAAAATCGCGCGATTTTTTTTTTTAATTTTCGCCTACGGCGCTTTTTCCATAAAAATCAATACTTCGATAAATAATAAAAATTTGTAATAAAAACTTGCGCGATTTTTTATTACAAATTTTCGTCTGCGGCGCTTTTTCCATAAAAATCAATACGATAAATAAAGAAAATCTGTAATAAAAAATCACGCGATTTTTTTTTTAAATTTTCGCCTGCGGCGCTTTTTCCATAAAAATCAATACTTCGATAAATAATAAAAATTTGTAATAAAAACTTGCGCGATTTTTTATTACAAATTTTCGTCTGCGGCGCTTTTTCCATAAAAATCAATACGATAAATAAAGAAAATCTGTAATAAAAAATCACGCGATTTTTTTTTTAAATTTTCGCCTGCGGCGCTTTTTCCATAAAAATCAATACTCCGATAAATAATGAAAATTTTTAATAAAAAATCGCGCTATTTTTTTTTTTAATTTTCGCCTGCGGCGCTTTTTCCATAAAAATCAATACTTCGATAAATAATAAAAATTTTTAATAAAGAATTGCGCGATTTTTTATTACAAATTTTCGACTGCGGCGCTTTTTCCATAAAAATCAATACTTCGATAAATAATAAAAATTTTTAATAAAGAATTGCGCGATTTTTTATTACAAATTTTCGACTGCGGCGCTTTTTCCATAAAAATCAATACTTCGATAAATAATAAAAATTTTTAATAAAGAATTGCGCGATTTTTTATTACAAATTTTCGACTGCGGCGCTTTTTCCATAAAAATCAATACTTCGATAAATAATAAAAATTTTTAATAAAGAATTGCGCGATTTTTTATTACAAATTTTCGACTGCGGCGCTTTTTCCATAAAAATCAATATTTCGATAAATAATGAAAATTTTTAATAAAAAATCGCCCAATTTTTTATTACTAATTTTCGCCTGCGGCGCTTGTCATTTTTTTTTTTATATATTGAGGGTGTTTAACCTCATACCCTCCTTTACTACTAATTCAACGCTGAACAGGAAAACAGGTACGATAAAAGCTATTCTCTTTTATTGTTATTTTCTTAGATGTGGCAGCACTCTTCTAATGTCAATGTGAAACCATGGTTGAATCAACAGTTCTGTATTCACAATGTGCGTATACATATACAGGGTGTCCCAGAAGTAACGTGCCAAACTTTAGGGCAAGGTAGGTGGGGGGGTGAGCTCACTGATAAACAAAAAATTTTCAGGTAAAAGTGTCACCGTTTTTGAAATATTTACATTTTTTCGAATTTAAAAAAAATCGTGCCTTTTCATGTGTTTTCTTTAACTGCAACTACAAACCGGGCAATACTTAGTAAATTTTTTATGTAAAATACTTCCAGATAGTTGCCTCTCCATACTCAAATGCAATGTAGTTAAAATATATTAAGGAACCATCATAAAATTAGGACTATTTCTGGATTTTTAACTTTTTGATATTTTCTTCCCCAACTTTGACTATCTCGGGTGAAAAAAAAATGTACTGAGCTATAACTTTACATTACATAAAAAAATTGCTCATTTAATAAAGATTTCAGAAAGGTGCCACACTTACTGTTTTGAATAAAAAAAAAAAGTTATAGCCGCTTTTGTGGGTAAAGGACTGAGACACGCTAGAATGTATTTAATAGATTTAAATTGAATTTGCTCTTGTTACCGTCAAATGACATGCTAAATAGTACAAAGGTACATAATTACTTGCTTCTGACATTATTTTATGTTACTTACCGGAATTCGGACTAGAGTCTATAACAAGGGCTATATCTATCAATATTTTGTGTGAAGGATGGGTTCACGTGAAATAAGATATACATGAGTTGTTTGAAGAAAAATTTATTCATTTATTGATAAAATATGCTCAAATTGGCGACCTTCTACTCTAATACAAGCTCGGCACCTTTTAAGAAAAGACGCTTTTAGAGATCTTAAACTCAATTGGGCTATCTCAGCAGCAGCTCCATTTATTTGTTCCCGCAAATGCTCTTCGTTTTGAATTGTTTTTGAATAAATTTTGTCCTTAAGACAGCCCCAGTAAAAAAAATCTAATGGATTCAGGTCTGGCGATCGAGCGGGCCACGTGATTGGCCCGTATCGTCCAATCCATCGGCGAGGATAAGTTTCGTCTAAATGAGCTCTTACTTCACGCCCGTAGTGAGCAGGGCACCCGTCATTTTGCAGCCATAGTCTTCGCCGCAGGTTTAAGGGTACATCTTCCAAAAGAGTTGGAAGCCGTTCCTGAAGGAACTCTAAATAACTGTGAGAGTTGAGCGTTGGCGGCAGTTCCACAGGTCCCAATATCTGACAATTAAAAATACCGCACCATAAATTTATTTTGTACCGGTACTGCGAACGATCTTCTCTCATTTCGTGAGGATTGTCTATCTGCCAACTGTGAAGGTTATGTAAATTAAAATAACCATCACGTTTGCATGATGATTCATCGCTCCAAATTATTTTATTAAAAAAGTTGGGGTCTGATTCATGCATTCGCAACATTTCACGGCAAAATCTAACCCTCGACAGGTAATCTCTTTCCTGTAGAGCCTGAACACGTTGAATGTGGTAGGGATGAAATCGATGGTCTTTTAAAGCTTTGTGAACTGTAGTTTTTGGTATTCCCGTCCGTCTTTCCATCATTCTCACTGAAGTCGATGGACCTAGTTCCACTTCCTCTAACACAGCTTCAACATCTACCGTTGCAGGACGTCCTGTTTCGCCGCCACGCCTTCCAGGTATGCGACCTTAAAAAAGTGAAAAATGATAGTTAACAAGCAAGCAAACAAGAAAGGTGTAAAAATCACTTACCTTCATATATTTCTCTATGGGTCCGGGCGAATACTTCACGACCCGGATGTCGACGATTGGGGTATCGCTCTGCATAGAGTTTTTGAGCAGCTCTGGCATTACAGCAAGCTTCACCGTAAATTAGGTGAATATCCGCATATTCATGCGACGTATACTGCGTGTTCTCTGTCATAGTATTAATAACACAATGTTCGAAGGGTCCAATTTCACAAAATCCACTTTCACTAATTCCGATAAGTAACACAAAATAATGTCAGGAGCAGGTAATAATGTACCTTTGTACTATTTAGCATGTCATTTGACGGTAACAAGAGCAAATTCAATTTAAATCTATTAAATACATTCTAGCGTGTCTCAGTCCTTTACCCACAAAAGCGGCTATATTTTTTTTTTCTATTCAAAACAGTAAGTGTGGCACCTTTCTGAAATCTTTATTAAATGAGCAATTTTTTTATGTAATGTAAAGTTATAGCTCAGTACATTTTTTTTCACCCGAGATAGTCAAAGTTGGGGAAGAAAATATCAAAAAGTTAAAAATCCAGAAATAGTCCTAATTTTATGATGGTTCCTTAATATATTTTAACTACATTGCATTTGAGTATGGAGAGGCAACTATCTGGAAGTATTTTACATAAAAAATTTACTAAGTATTGCCCGGTTTGTAGTTGCAGTTAAAGAAAACACATGAAAAGGCACGATTTTTTTTAAATTCGAAAAAATGTAAATATTTCAAAAACGGTGACACTTTTACCTGAAATTTTTTTGTTTATCAGGGAGCTCACCCCCCCCACATACCTTCCCATAAAGTTTGGCACGTTACTTTTGGGACACCCTGTATAAGTGCGTGATAATTATAAAAACTTACTTAATTTACTAAAAATACATCATAAATGTAAAAAATATGTTTACATTTCTTTGTGCGGGGTTTTAATGCAACTATTTTGCCGAAGTGTGTACATAAATATAGTGTTTACTGTGTGAAATAGCGCCGAGAGGTTAGTTCAATTTACAAACTTTAACAACAAATAATTTAAAAACTATAAGCCTCCTGCGGCTAAAAGTATATATATTTGCAATCAGGAGAACTCCCCCTAACCCCCCATAACCACCTTTTTTTTTGTACGCGGGGGATGCCAAACTAAAATTTTCCCGTATTTTATTGTTGCAAACTGAATAAAAAATATAACCAAATAACCAGATAACCTGATGACCAGGCTAGCATGAACAACCACATTGTCTTCTGAAGTGGTGTTTTTAGGGTTCGAACGATACTATCGATATTGAGTAAGCATCGATACTGAGGGTATAAAAATGAGCACTGTAATACTCGATACCTTATTTGGTGATTTTACTCGATACTTTGCAAAGTACTCGTAGTATCGAAAACTTAA